CCCGCCGGGCTCCGCTCCCGGCGCATCCCGTGGCTCCGGATGGTGCCGGACATAATCCAGGCTCAGGGCTGAGCACTGCCCACACCCCCCCTCCAGCCCCCCAGGGAGCCCCCCAGGGCTGCCCCCATCTCTGCTGGCACAGGGGGTGCCAGAGGTAGCCCTGGGTGCCCTGAGCTGGCACCGGAGCAGCCAGAGCCAGGAACAGACAGGGATGGTCCCAGAGTTTATTGAGCAGCCAAGGGAGGGGGTGGCACAGGGGGGGTACAGGGTGTCCATGGGGTGGGCACGGGGTGTCTGCAGGGGTACAGGATGTCTGTAGGGTGAGTATGGGGCAAGGGGTGTCAGGGGAGGAGTACTGGGTGTCCACGAGGTGGGCACAGGGTGTCTGTAGGGTGGGTACGGGGCAGGGGGTGTCTGTGGGAGGGTAGAGAGTGCCCATGGGGTGGGCATGGGGCAGGAGGTGCCCATGGCGAGGGGTACAGGGTTCCCATAGGTGGTTAAAGGCTGTCCACGGGGTGGGCACAGGATGTCCAGGGTGGGTGCAGGATGTCTGTAGGGTAGGTACAGGATGTCTGTAGGGTGGGTACAGGGTGCCCATAGGGGGGCACAGGGTGTCTGGGGTGGGTACAGGGTGTCTGGGGCGGGTACAGGGTGCCCATAAGGGGGTACAGGATGCCTGTGGGGTGGGCACAGGGTGTCTGGGGTGGGTACGGGGTGCCCATAGGGGGGTACAGGATGCCCATAGGGGGGTACAGGATGCTGTAGGATGGGCACAGGGTGCCCGTGGCACAGCCGTGTCCCCGCTGCTCTCAGCTCTGCTGTCCCTGCCCAGCCGGGGGGTGGCAGTGGGGGGGCTCTGCCCCCGTGCCCGGCTGCCCCTTGGCCAGGAGCAGGTCCAGGTAAGCCCCCGAGATCAGGTCGTGCTCCCCGACCCCCAGTTCCCGCAGCAGCTCCCGGGCCACGCGCTCCCCGTCCTGCACACTCTGCTCCTGCCTCAGCACCACCTGCGGGCAAGGTGTGAGCCCGGGGTACCCCGGGGTGCCCTGTGCCCCCCGCAGAGCCCCCCAGGCCCAGCCCCTCACCTCCAGCTCCAGGAAGTCGCCCAGCCCCTCCACACGGTCCAGGTGAACCCGGGTCTGCCCCACGAGGTAGAGGAGCCGCTCCTTCCTCACGATGCCCAGCACGCCCAGCGCCTGTGCCAGCACTGCCTGAGGGCCAGGGGGGAGCTGGGCCTGTGCCAGGCACCCCGGGGTACCAAGGCACCCCACAGCACCCAGGGCACCCCACAGCACCAGGCACCCTGTGTCACCAGACACCCCACAGCACCCAGGGCATCCACACCATCGGACATCCCATGTAACCAGCCCACACAGCACCCAGGGCACCCCACAGCACCCAGGGCACCCCAGACCATCAGGCACCCTGTGTCCCCAGCCACCCCACACAGCACCCAGGGCATCCCACAGCAACAGGCACCCTGTGCCACCAGCCACTCCTCAGGGCCCAGGGCACCCCAGATCACCAGGCACCCTGTGTCACCAGACACCCCCCACAGCACCCAGGGCATCCACACCACCGGACATCCCGTGTCACCAGCCACCCCACAGTACCAGGACACCCCAGACCACCAGCCATCTCATGTCACCAGCCACCCCTCAGTGCCCAGGCCACCCCATATCACCAGCCATCTCATGTCACCAGCCACCCCTCAGTGCCCAGGCCACC